TATGTGATTCAAATAAAATTGAAACTATTCAAATAAAATAGAAAACCATTCGAATAAAATGAAAGATGTTCAAATAAAGTATATGTCATCCTGTATCATTCGAATAAAATAACCTCACTCTCTCTTTACTATTCTTACTTGTTTTTACAAACAAAATTCTTACGTATGTAAATTTTTCATTTGGCGCATCTCCTCTTAAACAAATCATAAAAAAAAGTATTTCAACAAATATACTTTTGGTCTCTCCTGTCTATTTCTTCGTTATTAATTTCTATAGAAATAAACAGAGTGTAAAAGAATTAATATAAATTAACGAAGGAGATTGATGCAACCACATCCTCGAGATTAGAATCTATCCCATGAATCCAAGCTACTAGTGCCAATTGTATATCCCACTTTAAGTATGTATAATTGCTTGTTATCTGTTCTTCCTTTGCTGCTATATTTATTGGCCAAACTCGGGTGCATAACCACATCACTTGCATTTCTTGCAATTGCTCACCAAAGTGCCAGTACGCAATAATCCTACAGCTGTCCTACCAAAATCTCTATACTTTCATCCGATTCATTAAGAGGGGATATGTTTGAAACAACATTTAAAAGATTATATATATATGAGAAATGTTATGATAATATTGGTATAATTTTTACTAAGTATTATATTGTTCAATAATTTTATATTAAATGTGAATTTTGTAAATTCAACTGTTAAATTAAAAGTTCATATCACTTTATATATTTATAACAAATTTTATTAAAATTAAACAACAACTTAAAAGTAATTAAAATGTTCATATTTTAATATATTTTAAAATTTATATATTACGTTAATTTTATTTTATAAAAATAAAATATCAAATCATCTTGGATTAATATAAAATTTTATATATATGATCTAAGAGTAAAAAAAATTTAATCTAACAGTTAAATTTACAAAATTCACATTCAGTATAAAGTTATTAAACAGTATAATACTTAATAAAAGTTACACCGATATTAGACAAACTTCACGAAAAAAAATCAATTATCATAAATAACTATGTATATATTTCATACATGTTAAAAATGGGAAGAAATCAAAAAGTTACGCCATAAGTATCGATATTTGAATACTTACACTTAAAAACAGATATTTATTCAGTTTTGCATAAGACATAGCATATGTTCTTGATGCGGAAATAAATAATGTTAAACATGAAAGCTATACAAACATTCAACAATTAATTCTTTGAACGTAATGAAAATATACAATATTATTATTGTAAATAGTATATGTAGATGTTATTACATTAAATACAGTATTTATCACAATTTCTAAGAGCATCTACGAAAGGAATTATTTATAAACAACTCTCATCTACTTTAAATGGATCTCACACTGCTATGTCACACATAAGCAACTTATATTACATTTTTATAATTTTTTTTCAATGAAAGTTTCTTATAAACACCTCCACTTTTTAATCACTCATACTTCATTTTTAATAAATTTTAAAAAATTTAATTATTATAGTTGTTGACATTAATGAAGAAAGAAAATATTAAATTATTTTTTTATTCTTAAACAACCGTCTCTTATATAAGTAACGGTACTTAAATTTTAGCAATTTGACATGTCATATTAGCATGCTCCAATACAAATTTTTTATAAGTAATGAGAGATTAAACTTAAGAACCTAGCATTGGAGATGTTCTAAGAAGTTGAGAGCATAATTTTTTTAAAACTAATAATGCATAAAAATTAGATTCATTTTTGTAATTTAATTTAGAAATTTAATGTATAAAAAGCTTACATTTTTAGCCAATCAGAAATTATGAAAGACATAATAAGGTAATTGTTATAAAAAAAATTAACTAATTTAACATACATAATAATTTGTATTTGGGTGACAAAGTAAAAATTTTCACACAACCATTACATTTACTATTAATTCAATAGAAATTTATTGTATCATGAAATCATATTACTGAATAGAGTTTATCTTGTTTATAAAATTGATCTCCGATAATTTGTGTATATGCTCAACCAATTAAATTAGATTTTCTTAATAATGAATAAAATTTGACTCTTGTGAAGAGAAAAATGTAATTCAAACAATAAAATACAATAATAACTATTAATTAATGATCAGATTATAATTAGCAAAATATATATATATATATATATATATTATTTTGACTTTAATTATAAGTAAAAAAATAAGTTTTTTTTATTATAATCAACAATTATTAGTTTTTAAAATTATTAAAGATTAATTTTTTTTTATATTTTTTATTTATTATTAACTTTACTTATTATGCGTTCAGTTATAATTAACATTAAATATAATAATTATTTAAAGTAATAAGTAAATTTGAAATAAAATTTGAATTTATAATAAAATTATTTAAAGTAACCACATTAATTATTTTTTTATTGATTTTGATGATTTGTCCTGTACCGTTTGTAATTAGAATTTTTTTTTATGATTTTCAACAAATTTTTTAATAAACGATTGTAGATACACTTTATTATCAATAATGTAGAACAAGATATTATACTCCTCATGAAAAATACATATCCCACAAAATAATGACCAAAAACATAATGTATTAAAATTTGTATTTCTTGATTAAAGATTGATGTTTCATCCTTAACTTAGACATGAATTTACGGGTAATAGATGTGTCACTTTTTTCTATTAAGAATCGATTTGATAAAAATGGGTTATAGCTCTTTTATAAATAAAAAAAATCCAATGATGTTTATATTCCTTTTCCGATTATGTTGTTCTTACAAATATAAAAAAAAAAAAAAAAAAAAAAAAATTTGGAAAAAAAATTTTAAAGGC